CTTCTCCCTGTAACGGGCACCTGTATTATTACCTGCTCACCAAAAAAAAAGTGGGGGGGCAATTCAACTTAAAACACACAGAGGCAGTCCCTGTACGGCCACCATGAGGTTCTGCTGGGGCTGCTCACTTTTAAGTCTCAGTCCTGACTCAGAAAGGTGTGACTGTTTTTTGTCTGTCTGTCTGTCTGTCTGTCTGTCTGTCTCTCTCTCTGTTCTAAGCATGCTTTCCCTAATACTTTGGGCTTCACTCATTTTCTGAAGTTCTCCTCTCCACTGTGAGGCTCTTTGTCTGCCACATGGCTGACTTCCACGCTGCCTTAACTCAAATGGCATGACTCTCTTTTCTTCATCATCTTCCTCCTCCAGGCAGCTACTGAGATTTAGAGATTGACAGTTTGCCATTCTGGGATTTTGGTAGTGTTGTTTTGTTTTTGTTTGTATTTTGAGACAGTGATACCTTGTCTCCCTGTGGCCCCAGCTGGCCTGGAACTTGCTATATAGACCAGGCTGGCCTCCATCTCACAGAGATCCACCTGCCTCTGCCTTCCTAGTGCTGGGATTAAAGGCATGAGCCACCATGCTCAGTTTCTTTTTTTTTTTAAGATTTATTTACATATATATATGAGTGTTTGCCTATATGCATGCAATGCTCATGGAGGCCTGGAACTAGAGTTATAGGCAGTTGTTAGCCATCATGTGGGTGCTGGTAACTGCACCCCTGGACCCTCTGCAAGAGCAGCCAGTGCTCTTAACTGCTGAGCCATCTTTCCAGCCCCCTAAGGCTTTCCTTTTAACTTCCAATAAAATTGTCCTGAGCTCAAAAAAAAACAAAACAAACAAACAAACAAAAAAACCCATACACAAGCACCCCCCAGGCTCCCCCCCCCCAAATAAATAGACATAAACAGATAAAACAAAGGGAAAACAAAGGATGTAGTCTCTGAATTATCAACAGGCATTATGGCTAAACCCAGCCTCTCTTAGGTAGTGGCAACTTCTTACTTCCTGCCTAATACCCTCAGTCCTGGAAAGGCAGTTCTTCCACAGGACACTCTGCACACATCTGGGTGTCTAACCGTTCCTGTCACTTCCAGGTCATCTTCCCCAGCCCTACACCCCCTAACACTATCTCCAGAAAAAGGAAACAGTGACCTAGAGGGAAAGAGGGTCAAGAAATACTCTGGAAAGCCCCATGTGGGAGGCAACTCTGTGTCTGGGTGGTGGACTGTGATGCAGGAGCTCTGTATAGTAACCCACAGCTGCCACTTGGCATCTCCTTGCCCTCCTGGGCATGAAGGATCCTGAACAGGGAGATTCCGTTAAATAACCTCTCTCCCTCCTGCAGCAATAAGTAGCCCAAACCCTGTACTCTGTGTTGGACTATAGCCAGATCTTCTGGGATTAGTCAAGAGCTACATGGGCTATGCTTCCTAAATTTTACCTGTCCATCTTCTAGGTTCTTTGCCAGTACCCTGACATCTAAGGACCTGTTGGCTACTCAGGGCCAGTGCAATACAAGGGTCAAGCAGGTGGGAACAGTGGCATCTTCATTTCACTCATCAGAGGACTATGACAAAGTGAAACAGGCCAAGAGGCTTCAGAGGGGTGAGGCCTACCTGATCACTCGAGTATGGCCTTGTAAGGTGGTGCCAACTTCCCCACTGCCATCTTTCCACTTATAAAGGTCAACCCGCTGATTACTCTGAAAAGAAACAAGGAAGGCATGAGTAACATTAACATGTACATTAGAGTATATGCCTCAATCTGCTCAAGGTGAATGAGGGAAACACAGCAGCCAGCTTGTGTGCCAGAGATCCTACAGCTTGAGCATTTTTTTTTAAAGACAGGGTCTCCCATAGCCCCAGCTGACCTGGAACTCACTATGTAGACCAGACTGGCCTCTTGATCTCACAGAGAGTCACCTACCGCAGCCTCCTGAGTGTTGGTATTAAAGGCATGTGCAACCACATCCAGCATAGGATGAACTTTTTTAAAAAGTTCTTTAGGCACTGGTGAGATAGGTGAGTAAAACACTTGTCACAAACATGAGGATGAGAACTTCATGCCCAGCATCCATGTAAACAGCTGTGTATGGAATCCTAGTGCTAGGGAGGGAGGGAGGGAGGGAGGGAGGGAGAGAGAGAGAGAGAGAGAGAGAGAGAGAGAGAGAGAGAGAGAGAGAGCTCCCTAAAGCTTTCTGACCAGCCAGTCTGGCCAAACAGGTGAGCTCCAGGTTCAGTGAGAAACCCTGACTCAAAAATAAGTGGAAAGTGACTAAGGAAGACATCCCATGTCAAACTCTTCACGTGCATCTATACACACACACACACACACAGAAACATGTACACATACACAATAATAATAATTTTAAAATTCAAGACTTTGAGATGGCTCAGGAAGTAAAGATACTTGCTATAGGGGAGAGATGGCCCAGCAGTTAAGAGTACTAAGTGCTCTTGCAGAGGGCCTGGGTTCGAAACATAGCACCCACATGGCAGCTAACAACCATCTCCAGTTCCTGGGGATCCAATGACCTCTTCTGACCTCTATGGGCATTGCATGACATGGGTGCACTCACACACATGCAGGCAATACACTCATACACATAAAAAATAAAAATAATAAACGAGAGGCTGGAGAGATGGCTCAGTGGTTAAGAGCACTGACTGCTCTTGCAGAGGACCCCTGCTGATTCCCAGCACCCACATGGTGTCTTCAAACCATCCTTAATTCCAGTTCCACGGGAATCTGAAGCCCTCTTCTGACCTCCACAGCATTGCATGACACGGGTGCACTCACACACATGCAGGCAATACAGTCATACACATAAAAAATAAAAATAACAAATAACATATTTAAAAAATAATAATAAATGAAATGTTTTAAAATACCTGCTAAACAAACCTAATAACCTGAGTTCAATCCCTAGAATCCATGTAAAGGTGAAATGAGAGAATCGACTCCACAAACTATCCTCTGCTACACCTATACCCATGGCATGCACATCTACATTCATCATGCAAACACACACAATCATAATAAATAAAAGAAAGTTTTAAAAAACTTTTCAAATCCATCAGAAACCAACATAAATAGCTAGGTATGGTAGTGTATACCTGTAACCCCAGTACTGAGGAGGCAGAGGCAGAAAGAGTGTTGCGAGCCTGAAGCCAGTCTGGTATACAAATTCCAGGCCTGCCAGGTTACACATAGTAAGATCTGTCTTTTTTTAAAAAAAAAAAAAAAGCTTGGGCATGGTAGCACAAATCTTTAATCCCAGCACTCTGGAGGCAGAGGCAGGTAGATCTCTGTGAGTTCAAGGCCAGCCTGGTCTACATAGTGAGTTCTGGGCCAGCTGGAGCTACAGGGAGACCCTGTCTCAAAAAGGCAAAAAAAAAGTGTAATTAATTAAAGCTTGAACTATCCTCAGCTGATCATGAATTTCAAAATGAAAAGGCAGTACCATCTTTTTATTCTGGGGGGAGGGGGTTCTTTTTGAGTCAGGACCAAAATTCACATAGCTGGAGAGGTCATAGATCTTAGAGAAAATAGCAAGGTGCTCATATCCCTAGGCAAATGTAATTTCTTACTATTACATTAATATGGATCCTTAAATTTACAGTCAAGTATCCCAGTCACCACCCATCAAAGTAGCGTCTTTATCAACAGAGATTATTAGAGTTAGATCACTGGTCACACACAGATTCTCTGTGAATTGCCCAAACTTAAGTGGCACATCTAGGATGCAACCTCTACACCTAAGACTCACGGAACATAGAACAAGGGATGAAGAGAACACTATTTCATCTTTCAAATCTCATCAATGAAGCGGCCTCATGCAACAGCAGGCCAGAAACACAAAAGGCCACAAATGGCCAAAATGCAGAATAAGAGTCTGCAGAGTGTGGGTCCTTAGACAGGACTCCTACATTGAGGTCCACCCACCCAGGGCTCAGGGACCATAGCAGAAGAGGGGGCAGAAAGATTGTAAGAGCCAGGAAGGAGGTGCATATCGAAATGGTCCTACAGGCGCCTGGGACCCTTCTCATACAAACCTACAGCAATGGTGTCAGCATGCACAAGACCCATGCAAATGTAAGCAGACAAAAACCCAGCACAGAACTGTGGAAATGAACAGCAGGCCCCAATCTTAGTCAAAGAATTATTGGTTGCTGGTTACTGCTGGGTAAGAAAGAGCTGATCTTGAAGGGAGGGACTCCAGACAGGCTGACCAAACCCTGGTGGATGAACTTGCACTGAGGGACATCTGGGGACATTAGCTTTACATAATAGGCCTTAACACAATGACAGAGTGTATGAGCTCTAGTTGGGGAGGGGGCTATGGGAGGTGCCAAAGGGGAAGAGAGAAGGGGTGTAAAGATGATTTTTCATATGAAATACACAAAAATTCAATAAAAAATTAAAATTAAAAAAAAGAACTCTTCCTGAACAGTCAGTTCCTGTTGACCCTCAACAACAGAAGATGCCCTGCTAAGCAGATACTACAGATAGTCCCTGACCAGAGTAACTGCCTCCCCTCTCTGAGGGTCACACATTTGACTCTTCAGCCACTGTCACAATGGATGTTTTCAGTTCACTCTTCTCACTGTCAAATCCCCAAAGTCCACCCAGCATGCACAAGAAAGAAAAATAGGCCTGCCACCCAAAAGGTGCCCCAAAAGACAAAACTATACAAGATCCTTAAAATACGCTTCTATCAAATTTCTTAACAGGTTAAACAAAATGGGGAGGGAGAGTTGATCAAAAGAAAATACAACTAACTATGCCAGGAAAAATGAGCACTACATTAAAGCACATTTCATTTAAACCAGGTGTGGTGGAGCAGGCCTGTGATCTCAGTGCCCAGGAAATGGAGGCAGGAAGTTTAAGAGTTCAAGGTGGGGGCAGGAGAGATGGCTCAGCAGTTAAGGCATGCGTGTGCCACCACACATGGCTTGGCTTGCTGCTCTTAAAGAGGACCCAAGTTCAGTTCCCAATACCCAGTTCAGACAGTTTACAACCACCTGTAACTCCAGCACTAGGTGATCTGATGCCCTCTTCTAGGCTCTGAGGGCACCTGCACACACACACACACACACACACGGCACATACACAGACACATATATATGTAAATGGAAATAAATCCTTAAAACAAAAAAAGCACAGAATGAAGAATTCCCCATCTTACAGTAATGTTACCTTCTATTTCTAGGGTCTGCTGGTGCCAGCCTGTGTACAAGGCTCTGTAACAAATCTGGCCTGTGACATTTTTCTACCACTTTGTACAGTGGCTGTCATTATCCACATTATAAAAGAGGCAACTGAGGCACAGAAAGTTGAGTGAATTGCTCAAGAAAAGAGTGTTTAAACTAGGACTTGACCTCATGCTTTTGTAATCCTAAAGCTCTTCCCTCTGCAAAAGGCCTTCCAACCAAAACCAACAACAAATAAATTGAACTTAGGCAAAATTAAAACTTGTGTGCATAAAAGGACACAAGTGAAAAGGCAACCAACAGATTTGGAGAAAATATTTGCAAATCTTACAGCTCATAAAGGTCTCGTATCCAGAATACATGAAGAGTTCTTACAAATCAACAAAAATACAATCCCAGTTGAAAAAGAAGGCAAAAGGGCTGGGAGTGCAGCCCAGTGGTAGAGCACTTGCTGAGCATGTGCAAGACCCTGGGGTCCATTCCCAATACTGAAGCAGGAAAAGAGCAAAGACCTGAACACATAATTCTTCAAAAAAAGGTATGTAAATGGTCAACAGGCACAAGAAAAGCTGTTCAACATCAGTAATCATTACAAAAATATACATGAAATAAGGCACTAATTCACAAATAAATAAATGTAATTTAAAATTTAAAATTGTAGTCACTCTGAATGGTAGCTTTTAAGAAATACAATTTAAATGTTTAAGAACTTTTAAGAAATTGGTAAGGATGTAGAAACAGCTGAACCTTGTGCCCCACTGTAGGAACATGACAGATTAGCTTCCATGGAAAACAGTTTGGTGGTTCCTTCACAAAGTTAAATGCAGATTTATCATAGGACCCTCATGATTCCACCCCTGGGAAATATAAATAAAAATGGCACAACTGTACACATGTTCAGAACAGCATTTTTACAACAGCCAGTTAATATGCCTACCATTGAACAGACACACAATTTACAGTACACATATACAATGGGATAGTCTTCAGTCATGAAAATGAGCGAAGTTCTGATAGTGCTATAATGTGGATAGCTCCAAAACACTGAGTGGAAGAGGCCAGACACAAATCACAAACCACTTATTGTGTAATTTCCCTTACATGAAATATTCGGGATAAATTCATGGAGACTGATGGTCACCAGGGTTACAAGGAGGAGGGAATGTGGAGAAAATGCTCAGTAAGGAGCTATAGTCTGGACTGGTGGACATGCTTTGGAACTAGATAGAGGTAGTGGTTATATCAACTATGAATGTAATAAAGGACACTGAAATATTCACTTGAAAATTATTACAGTAGTCTCCACTTATTCTTGGTTTTTCTGAGGTCAACTGCTCCCAAAAATGTTAAATTTGGCTGGGCATGGTGGCACACGACTTTAATCCCAGCACTCAGGAGGCAGAGGCAGGCAGATCTCTGTGGGTTCAAGGCCAGCCTGGTCTACATAGTGAGTTCCAGGACAGCTGGGGCTACAGCGAGACCCTGTCTCAAAAAGACTAAAAAAAAAAAAAAGTTAAATTGAAAATGACAGAAATAACTGGGTGTGGTGGCAACACACCTTTAATCCCAGCACTCAAGAGCCAGAGGCAGGCAGATCTCTGTGAGTTTGAGGGCAGCCTGGAGTTCCAGGACACCTGGGGCTACAGGGAGACCCTGTCTCAAAAAAAAAGAAAAAGAAAAAAAAAAGAAAGTGACAGAAATAAGGAATTCATAGGTTTTCAACTGTGCACAGTTCTGAGAAGTGTGATGAAAGCTCATATCATCCCACCTGGGCTGTAAACCATCCCATATCATCCCACCTGGGCTGTAAACCATCCCATATCATCCCACCTGGGCTGTGAACCATCCCTTGGTCTGGCATATCCACTCTGAAATGCTTCCTGCCTGTTAGTCACTTGGAAACCATCCCAGCTATCAGATTTTCTCATCAGGTATCATGGTATCTCAAGTGCTTGCTTTTAAGTAACCCTAAATTTACATAATGACGGCTCTACAGCAAAAGAGAAGAGATGCTGGCAGTTTGGATAGGTCAACGAAATGCTGTGAAGTGCCTCCTTTACAGTGAAAAAGTGAAAGCTGTTGACTTATGAAAAAAAATATTATGGGGTGCCAAGAGCTACAGAGTGTCTAATTTATAAAGCGAACTTTTTGTTTTGCTTTCTTGGAACAAGACAGAGTCTCCTATAGCCCAGGCTGGCTTTAAACTCACTATGGAGCCAAGGCTAGACTTAAAACTCCTGATCCTTCGGCCTCTACCTTCTGAATGCTGGGATTACAGGTTTGCACTACCTAAGCTTAACTTTATCATAGGGTGTGTGTGTGTGTGTGTGTGTGTGTGTGTGTGTGTACGCATGTATCTGAAATTTCTCTCTCTCTCTCACACACACACATACACACACACACACACACACACACACACAAATAAATTACAAATACATAAACAGGCTGTCCCCCTTGCCACTCCTCAACAAATGCACTTACAACTCGTACTGAGGCATCAGCCTGGATCGGTGGTTCCCAATAGGGTGATTTTGCTTCCCACGGGACATGTGACAACATCTGAAGATATTTTTGGTTGTTGCTACAAAAGGAAGAGAAGGCTACAGAGATCTAGTAGTCAGGGATCTAGTGGCTGTTACAATAGAAGGACAGACCCCACCAGAAAGAGGTATCTGACCTAATGTGTCAACAGCATGAAGGCTGAGAATCCCTGGACCAAATGATTAGGGGCTGAGGAGCCAAGGGGCCAAAAGGCCCAGAGGTATAAACCAAAGAAAAGCATTCTAGGGCCGCAAGATGGCTCAGTATGTAAAGGTGCTTACTGCCAAGTCTGATGATCTGAGTTTGATCCCCAGGATCCACATGGTGGAAGGAGAAAACTGACTCTCCCAAGCTGTCCTCTGACCTCCACACTCATGCCAGGGCATGCCATGTGTCCCCACACACAAATTTTAAAACAAAGGATCCTAACTCCTAGGAAAGGGGCTTGGAATGGACAAGCAGTGGACTGGGTCTTCATTTTAGCCTAAGACACCTGAGGTAAAGTTGTCTGCTTTGGAAATGATGAGGAAGAGCAGGGTTTGTTCTTTCTCAAGCTGACAACGTGCTCTTCTTCCTTCACTCAGGTGCTTTCTTTCTGGACTGCCAGTCTCAGTCCTGACCAGAGCAGACCAGCATGTGACTGGCCCACCCCCAGGAGATGCCTTTCAATATTCTCCTTTGGGCCAAGTCCAAAACCTATAGTTGCTCTAGAGAAAAGAATGATGACGTAGAACCTGGAGAAGAGTGCCAGAGATGACGAAGCCCAAAATCCTGTGGGAGAATCATAAATTTCTCAGAAAACCAAAGGAAGCTATGCATAAACTCTGGAAAATCTCACATATAAATAGGCACTCAAAATTTGAGGAGGTTAACTAATCCAATGAATCCCAATGAAGAAAGAATCCCACCCTTTGAGTGATGAGGGTTTTTTAAAATTTTTAGTTTATTTTTAGCTGGGCATGGTGGCGCATGCCTTTAATCCCAGCACTCGAGAGGCAGAGGCAGGTGGATCTCTGTGAGTTCAAGGCCAGCCTGGTCTACATAGTGAGTTCCAGGCCAGCTGGGGCTACAGGGAGACCCTGTCTCAAAAAGACCAAAAAAAAAAGAAAGAAAAAAAAATTATTTTGTTTTTAATTGTGTGTGTGTGTGTGTGTGTGTATACATGCACATGTACCTGTACACAGGTGTGTAGATGTGAGTGCACTGGTTCTCATGGTCCTAGAGTTGCAGGTTGAGTCTCTGGACACGGGTGCTGGGAACTGAACTCAGGTCCTCTGTGAGGGCAGAGCGCTGTTGACTGTTGAGCCATCTCTCCAGCCCTGGATGAGATTTTTGATTCCTCTGAAAGCAAGGAAGGTCGGCCCTGGACCAGTCTACATTCATCCTCCTTACAGCATCTTTGGGGGTCATCTGCCACTCAGACCCTGGCTAGTTACACCACTCTGTTAATGAGGTAACTCACTACACAATGAAATGAGGCATCTGCCTGCTTCCCTTTCAAAATCTGGATTCAATCCCTAGAAATATCAAGTCAGACATCAATGGGGCCTGCAAATGTGCATGTATGCATATGTGTGCATATGAGTGCGTACGTGCATGTGTGTGTTTATCTGTAACTTGCCTCTTTCTGTGAGAACCATGCAGACATCATTTTTGGACTGAGCAATGAAGACTGTGTTCTCTTCCCTGTACAGGATACAGATTTGTCAGCCCTTGATGACGCATTTAAAAGATGACATTCCTCAAATGAACTCACCGAAGCCGCAAAATAGTGCGCAAAGCTGTCATGAGGGTTCCACTGCACAGCTCCAATGTCCCATTTGCTCTGGCGGGATATTTTCCGGTGACCTTCAAAAGGGGCATCTAGATTGACGATGTACAGGAATCTGCGGCTAGAACATTAGAGCAATACAACAGCTCTAAGATGAAAAAGCACATTCAGAATTGCATGCAGTTTGTAAATGTGCTCCAAAGGTCCTGAGGTACACATGACATTTACCTACTCTGAAGGGTAAACAACTGACAAGTGTAACTCAAGCTGACAGTCTAGCAAAGGGAACAGCATCCCTGGAGCTACCTCCACAGTTGCCTTCCCTACCCATCTCCACCCATGAGAGCCTGTCTGCTTCCCCTGGATTCAGCTCCAACCTGCTCCTGTCCCAGCCCTTCCCAGAGCCCTAACTAGGACCAATTACCACTTCCATGTTACTCTCATCGCATGGTCTGCCTTTGGACTGCACTTATTTCTGCAATAAGATTACTAAATGTGATGGCTCTTGTCCCAAGTGTCTGGAGAGTAAACGGTATCTTGAATATCTTGTCGGCCCAACATCACCAGGCCCAGAGCTTTACACTCAATAAATGTGTTAAACACACTTATCACTGGGCTAAAATCTCAAATTTCTCTGCAAGTCTGCTACCTGGAAATGAAATTAAATCTATCAGGAAGGGAAATAATAACCCAAGAAAAAGGAATAACAAGGTAACGTATTAAGTGTGTGATAATAAATTTCAGGTGCCTGTCAACATGAAGAATTTAAAAATAAGGATGCCTTGTATTCATTTATTTTTCTTTTAAGTCAGAAAAAAATGCCTGGTATGTGAACCAACACCCTGCAGCCATCCAGCATTGACTTTTCATAGAGAACGCTGAGGACTAGTATGCTCAAGGAAAAAAATCAAAAACAAAAAAAACCAAAACATAAATAGTCCCTGTCCAGAAAAGACACAGAAAATTTTAGATAATGGCAGAAACTCTAAAGAGGGACAATGATTAAGAGAAGAAAGACAGCATGGGGAATACACAGAAATTCTGGAACTTCTAAGGAAGTTAAGCAGAAGAAAGATCCTGGTGCTCTGGCTGGCAAAGGAGTCACCTAATCTCACAATAGGCAGGATGGCACCTTCCCAGTAGCAGAAGACCAGTACAGGCTACAAGCTACACACACATGTGCATCCCTAGGTGAGTTCAGAGATGTTACAGAACAAAGGACAGCAGAGAAAGGGGACATCAAGAGAAACACAAACTAGTGAGGAGCATGTGTGTTGATCTTCATCCCCCACCCCCAGGACCCCACTAAAATATAGTTAAAAAAATAAAGACAGGAAGCCACAGAGCAAAGAAAATGAGGGAGGAAATGGAAAGCAGATGGGCAAATGGTAACTGATACTGAGTAAAGAGAGCTAAACAGGCCCAAGTCTGAAGAAGGGCTTGAGCATCTGATTGGCAGTGTAGGCCTGGGGGGCCCTTCTCAAAGCAAGGACGAGGTGGAAGGCCAGAGCGCAAAAACAGAACAAAACCAGAGTTGCTGGAAAGCCTGTCAACAGTGACACCAGTCATTTTTTACTGCTTTTTAAAGATTTTTTAATTTTAATTTTTATTTTTTTGGTCTTTTTGAGACAGGGTCTCCCTGTAGCCCCAGCTGTCCTGGATTCACTATGGAGACCAGGCTGGCCTCAAACTCACAGAGATCCTCCTGCCTCTGCCTCCCGAGTGCTGGGATTAAAGGCGTGTGCCACCACGCCCAGCTTTGTTCATTTTTATATTTATGTTTGAGTGCCTACACGTATGTATATGTACCATGTGCATGCCTATTGTCCATGGAAGCCTGAAAAGGGCATCAGATCCATCAGGAACTGGGGTTAGAGTTGGTTGTGAGCTGCCATGTGAGTGCTGGGAACTAAATCTATGTCCTCTGGAAGAACAGCAAGCACTCTAGATCACTGAGCCATCTCTCCAGCCCCTATTTATATTATTTTGTGTGTGTCTGTATAAGTGTATGCGCACGTGTGTACGAGTGTGCACATCTGTGCCTACACTCAAAGACCAGAAAAAGGTGCCCTCCTCTATCACTTTCCACCTATTCCTTTAGGCAGGGTCTCCCCCCGAAACTAGGATTTGCATTTTCTCAGCTAGGAGCTGGCAGGCCCCAGTGATTCTCCTGTCTCTTCCTTCCATCAAAGTTGGGGTTACAGGTATGTACAGGACACTCAGCTTGTTATGGGGTGCTGGGATCTGAACTCTGGTCTTTATAATTGCATAGCAAGGACTCTTCAGTGCTGAGTCATCTCCCAGCCCCCACCCTCCTGTTCACAGAGTCACTGATCTCAGTCACTGAAGAAAACTTGAAGGACTGGGGCTAACACAATCATAGGAGGGTAAGATAAGTCAAAGGTAACAAATGCCTTTGAAAGGCAGAGGAAAGAAATGCCTTGGAGCTGGGCATGGTGGTGTATGTCTTTAACTGTAGAACTCTGGAGGCAAAGGCAGGAAGATCTCTATGAGTTCAAGGCCAGTGGGCTCTACACAGTGAGACCTTGTCTCAAAAAGGAAAAAGAAAAAAAAAAAATAGTCTTGGAATCAATATTCTCAGAGAGCTAAAAGAAAAGACAAGAAATGCCAAAAATAAAGAACAAAAAGCATCCAAAGAAATTCAAGGACACCCTCAGGTCATACATACACCTCAGCAACCCCTCAGGTATCTCCAAGCTTTTGAGAGGGAACTGACACTGATTCTAACTACTTGAACAGCTATCAAACTACCTGAAAGCAAATCCTGAATCTATAACTCTGGAGTCCAACCTTGGAAGACAAAAGAAAAATGAGGAACCAAATAGAGGGATGCTTTTGGAAGCCCTTGTCAAGAAACTCCAATGGACTCTCTTTATGAACATTTGAAAATTGTCCTGTTCTTTTTCCTAGCTCCCTGTCTAGAATTTGTAATGCTAATTACTCTTGCCTTTACTTCTCCTTCACATCTCATATTCATGATTCAAGGATAAGAGTTATGCACTTTGAGAGTGTTTTAGATAGACCCACTGAAGGGGTACTCCAATTGCCTCACCCTGAGTCCCTGTTCAGCATGAAAGAAGCCAGAGGGGTCTGCGTCCCTATTCCCTATTGGCAATTTGGGTAACCCCTTCGGAGGATGGCGTATTAAGAATAGTAGGTAAGAATTACCTAGGCAGTTAGGGTAAAAAGACCCCAAAGAAAAGTAGCCAGTTTGTTGGCTAAAAGTCAAAATGTCCTTGGGACTGTTAGCAACATGCTCTGTTTCAAAGGCCAAAAATGTCAAAAGAATTTGGGAGCTTGTATCTAATGCTTCAAAGATTTTAGGGTTACCTCTTCAGAGGGGGGAAAAAACCCCGTGAAAATAAATATCTAAAAACCCCATGAAAATAAATAAATGAGGGCTGGAGAGATGGCTAAGTGGTTACGAGCACTGACTGCTCTTACAGAGGACCCGGGTTCGATTCCCAGCACCCACATGATGGCTATGAACCATCTTTAACTCCAGTTTCAGGGGAATCTGAAGCCCTCTTCTGACCTCTGAGGCATTGCACGTCATGGTTGCACTCACATACATGCAGGCAATACACTCATACACATAAAAAATAATAAAATAATAATAAATAAAAATAAATGAAAAAAGAAAAAAAAGAAAAAGTCTTGGGGAGATATGGGAGGTGTTGGAAGGGAGGGAGTCGGGATGATCAAAACACCTTATATGCATGTATGAAATTCTCAATAAAGTTTTTGTAAAAGTTAAAAAAAAAAGAAATTCAAGGAACAGGAGAGATGCTCAGCAGTTAAAAATGCATACTGTTCTTAAGGCTGGAGAGATGGCTCGGCAGTTAAGAGCACTGAATGCTCTTGCAGAGGACATGGGTTCGATTCCCAGCATGCACATTGAGGCTACAAACCATCCTTAACTCCAGATTGTAGAAGAAAATTTCCCAAAATTAAAAAAAAGACATACCCATACAAATACAAGAAGCATTATAGAACACCATATAGACAGGACCAGAAAAGAAACTCTCCATGGTACATCATTGTGAAAACACTAAATGTTCAGAACAGAGAGACAATACTGAAAGCTGCAAAAGAAAAACAAGTCACATACAAAGGAAAACCCATCAGGATTACAGCTGACTTTTCAGTGCAAACTATGAAAGCCAGAAGAGCCTGGACCAAAGTATTCCCAGTTCTAAATGACCACAGATGCCAACCCAGATTACTTTACCCAGCCAAAATGTCTATTATAATTGAAGGGGAAAGAAAAATCTTCCATGACATAAATACGCTGAAGGAATTCATGTTCATAAAACCAGCCCTTCAGAGAGTTGTTGAAGCAACACAAAGAGCTGAAGAAAGGAACAACTATACACAAGGGGTTGCAGAAAAAAAATTCAATGAAGGTATAACTATGGAAATGTACAGCTATATCAAGAATGTAAAAAGAAAAATGACAGGCTTCAATACACATCTTTCATTAATAACTTTAAATATCAATTGACTGAACTCCCCAGTCAAAAGATACTGACTAATTGAATGGATTAAGAAACAAAACCCATCTTTGTGTTGTCTACAAGAAACTCATCTCACTTTCAAGGGCAGGCACTACCTTAAGGTGAAAGGATATAAAAATATACCAAGCAAGTGGTACTAAGAAAAAAACAGGTGTTGCCATTCTAATATCTGAAAAAATAGACTTTAAACATCTTTGTCTCAGAAGAGACAAAGAGGGCCAAGTCATTCTGATCAAAGGAACAATAAACCAAGAAGATGGTACAATCATGAACATATATTCACCAAACTCTGGTGCACCCAACTTCATTAAAACAGTACTACAGGACTTTAAGACCCAGATTAATCCCGACTCATTAATAGTAGGGTACTTCAATACCCCATTATCACCATTAGATAGGTCAACAGGACAGAGAATTAACAGAGAGACATCTGAATTAAACAATACCATACATCAAATGGACCTAACAGACATCTACCGAATACTCCACCCAAGCACCAAAGAATATATTTTCTATTCACTGCCTCATGGAATCTTCTCCAGAATCGACCATGTACTGGGGCACAAAACAAACCTCAATAAAT